TTTTTTTTTTTTTTTTTTTTTTTAAAGAAACAGTTATTAGTAATTATATTTTCATGTCAGGATGGGGCCCAATCCTTTAAAATTACAGAGTTCCATCTAATACCAGCATTACATTGTGGTCTCTAAAGGCTCCATAATTTGTAGTTTTCAGGGTCAATCCACTCCTAATTTGGGTATCTACTGTCTATCTTTAATCTACATATATGCTTCTATTGTCATACGAATAATCAGGTTACTATAGTACAAAGACCAAAAAAGGCTACCTGGAGATATCTTTGCTCTTATAGTTGTGTTGATTTCTGACAGGCTAACCAGGGGAAGGGTTTATAAAAGAAAAAAAAGACCCCTGGTTGTCCAAAATAGCACTTCCTCAAGTTCTCCTTTCCCAGCAGTGTCTCTGAAGTAGGAACCATTAATATCATCACACTGAGAGAAAAATTACTTTTCCAAATTATTTTTTTTCCTTGAATTACCCTTTTTGTCTGTATATTTACATCCTGTTGAGCGATGAAAAAGCAAACAGTGAACAAAACAAACACCAGAGGTAGTTTTTTTTGTATAAAGTAGCACTTGTGTAGCAATAGTGCCATCCTGTGGCTAAGGTTGAAATTGCTTCTAAGAACCTAACCCCCCTCCTTGTCAAGTCAGGCCTCTTTTGGTCAGCTGTCTGGTACCAGGTAAACCATACAGCCTGTTGCACGGTCAGGCTGTTGGCAGCTAAACCAGCACCCCCACCTAGGCTAGCCTGGGTGAGAAGGGTGTGTGGACACCTGGCAGGACTGAAAACAAGACCTGTCAAAGGGCAGATGAGCTCCCTAAGAGCCAACGACCACCCATACCTGGAGAGGAGATGGGCACCACCAAGTCACTCTGCCAGAAGAATCACCAGTGATGCAAAGCAACTCAACCAACCTATGAGGGTTGTCACAGCATCTAAGATGCCCTTACGGTCACAGCAGCCTTGGGACTGACTTGACTTAAAGAAACTGATTCCAAGGGGAGATAGCCAGGCATACATGCGATTAACCAAAGGCAATTGCAGACATGCTATGAGAATATTTTCCAATTACTTATTATTGGTAGTTTCTTAGTGGTTATGACATCTTGTCTAGTTTAAAAGGACCAGTACCAAATAGTTTGTCAAACATGCACTTATATTTCGTAAGTGTAATTTAAAATTGTTCAAAAGTTTGCTATCTAAGTTTGCCCAGCATCTAACAGCAGCTTGTTTTCAACTTTCAGTTGTTAATGGACATAATGCAGCCGAGCAAGGCTCTCTGAATGCAGCTACCAGAGAACACCTTTGGAACTACAGCCAGGATTGCAAGAATGCAGAGGTATTTCAGATGCTTACTTCCCATTCTCTCTCCTCTTAGAGCCATTGGGGTGTAGGTTCATTGCAGCAATGAAGAACGCTGCTTTCACATTGTTTCATACATGACTTCTGCAAAAGATAAAGTGATGCAGCCTTTCAATAATTGTATCATGTCACTCACACCCCGTCTGTTCAAGAGTTACACCTGTTTAACTCAAGGGGGTTTTAAAACTGATTTTGCAAAATCTATTTAATACTTAGGACTTTTAAAAATCAGTTTCAACCTGATTTCCAGGGCTTTAACTTGCACCTGTAAATTCACAGGTGCAAACTAAACCAGCATGAGCATTTCTAACCCCATATAATTGCCCCCATGCAGGTATTAACAAAGTTTTAACTAGATAATTTTTAAGTGAAACTTGGGCAATTTACATGTGCAGAGAAACCCACTGAGTAAATGAGTCCTGAAAGAGTTTAAGTGGGCTGTCCTACAGAGGATGGACTGACCATCTGGGGACTGCAGGGAAGGACTAACAAAGGTTTCAAAACAGATTTAAGGAAAATGCAGTGTAAATACCACAGTGGAAAGGAAGTAAAACATAGACACTGATACCAAGAAAGTGGACCACATGAAGGTTCATCCAGCAAAGTAACAGTGTAAGGTTGCTTTAACTTTCCATGTTACTAGTACTTCAACAATTTTGCATTATGGGAATAATGATTGAAGGAAGAGTTAATGAGAATCAATTCCATTTAAACCAACAGGGCCATTAATGTACAAGAGGAGATGGGGCTGCTACTTTTAAGAACATGGTTAAGAACCATACTACTATCAAAATTTTAAATGTATATTTTGGAGCAATTACAGGTAGTAACAAATCTCACACATATCAAGGCTGTTTCACTATGCAACTCCTTGCAGGTGTCATTTTCAATTTGGTGCAATGTACTAAGAAAACAATACCATCTCTAACATAGGAACTGTTTTCTTCTTCCCCCGCCTTTTTAACAGATTGAAGTATTTGGTCCCCAGATAAGCAGAGAAGATATAGAAAAGATTCCAGACCCCAGAAGGAAGGAACTGAAGAAGAAGTTAACTGGAGCTATCAGAAGAAATGCAGAGGCCCGTCACAAAGCCCAGCTTGCAGTAGGAAAAGGGATGTTACCAGACTCCGTTACCTATACATGACACAAGTACTTGAAATTTAAGGGTTACAACAAATCCCAGAACATTCATAGTTGCATTTCAGTCTGCTAATTCATTGTACCATACTGGTGGGCTCTAAAGATAATTAATCATTTATTTAGGGGGTGGGTTGGTGGCTCTGGTCATCTGGTGCCTGCTATTGTAAAACCATTTTCAGTTCCTTGTAACTTTGTGTATGTAATTTTCAAGACCTAACAGAAGCTGCAGACATAGGCTTTTTGACAGGAATCTCCTACCAATGTAGCCATTTTAGCTAATACTGTTATGAACATAGTAAAACAGTTGCATCATAATGCTTAGCTGTTGCATAGTATTTTTCACCAATAGGTTATCAAAAAGCTTTAACAAGGAAATACATCATTCCCGTTCTACTTACAGGGCCGAGATGGTAAAGAGGTCAGACCAGGTCCACACAGTAAATCAGGTACAAGAGCAGGGAATATTAATTCAGGTTTTATTAAATACTATAAATGCAAAAGATTGTGTGTGTGTGGCTCTGGTGGTGTATTATACTATTCCTGTAACAAGTAAACCTTCCTACCAGACACAGCAAGTAATTAGAACTGCTGGTTCCAATAAGGAAACTGACATTTTAGAAGACAGTGTACTCAGGCTGCCTGCACTCTAGGGTTATGCAGCTGCTTTAAGAATGGCAGCAATATGACAACTAGGCCTCTAGCATAGATGCAAGCACTGCCAGTAGTTTTTCTGATACCCAAGCTATATTTGTTATAAGCTGATTTTTTCCACATCCCTCACAAGCCTAAGGGCTGATCTTGGAATACTCCATTTAAATCTATAGAATAATGTTCAAGGCATGTTATCTTCAAGCAAGCCACTCATGAAATATGATAAAATCTAACATGTGAAAGCTTCATTTCAACTAATCCTTCAGCCTCACCCAGGCTTTGACTAATGGCCAGAATTTGAAATATTATGCGTAACAGGTGATAACCCACTGGCCCAACCTAACCTGCAGCTCTCCTGTAATTATATGAGAGAGTTTTTATGGGAAGGACTTTAAGTAACTCAAAGTACTATGAATCTTTGATATAGAACCCAGGTACAAGGTTAGAGTGAGGTCAAATTCTTTTGCATACTTAAAAAATATCCAGTGGCATGAAAAGTTAAACCATTAAGCTCCTTTTAACCAACCATCTCCCCCCCCCGGCTACTGGTGGGGGGGAGTGCACCCCTCACTCCCTCCAGAAAACCTACCTATATATTTGTGTTGAGCATTAACAAGCAGCAATACTGAAATTGGTTTGCTAGTGTTCTGTAGGTAGACTATGCCACCAACTTATCTTCCTTTCCTATAATCCTCTCTGCCCTTTTAGAGAGTACATTTTTAGAGTTGGATGCATCAAACCTGAAGAATGGAAGCCAGTAAAAGCTACTGACACTGACTAAAGGAAGATGTTTCATTTCCTTGGCAGTGGGAACATTCTATTACAAACAGTCCTTCTTTATGCACTAAGAGTAAAAATTCAGATTCTGCTGTCTTGGATGTAAAAAGGCATGTTAAAGATGCCTCTTGGTTCTCTAGTCATGACAGCCTATAGCAAATTTGCTAGTAAGGATCTTGCCTAGCAGTTAAACAAGGAAGAATGAGTCAAGTTTCTTGCCTTCTCCATTCTCCTTTCCACTGCCCCCCACCCCCCAAGAGAGAGAACACTGATTTCCCAATAATTGTTCATAAACATTTATTTTTACCAATATACAATACGACAAAACACTTGCAACAGATCTTTATTAGCTTGACACAAACCTCAGCAGTAACTTAAGCTTGCATTTAACTTACAATATTAAGACATGGAAGAACTACAGTGCAAAACACAAACAATATTGCAGAACCTTGTAGGGCAAGATTCACAGTAACTAACAGCCACCCCGGAGACGCAGCACCAGGTGCAGAGTGGATTCCTTCTGGATGTTGTAGTCAGACAGGGTGCGGCCATCTTCCAGCTGCTTGCCAGCAAAGATCAGCCTCTGCTGGTCAGGGGGAATGCCTTCTTTGTCCTGAATCTTAGCCTTCACATTCTCAATGGTGTCACTGGGCTCAACCTCCAGGGTGATGGTCTTGCCAGTCAGGGTCTTCACAAAGATCTGCATACCACCCCTGAGACGCAGCACCAGGTGCAGGGTGGATTCCTTCTGGATGTTGTAGTCAGACAGGGTGCGGCCATCTTCCAGCTGCTTGCCAGCAAAGATCAGCCTCTGCTGGTCAGGGGGAATGCCTTCTTTGTCCTGAATCTTAGCCTTCACATTCTCAATGGTGTCACTGGGCTCAACCTCCAGGGTGATGGTCTTGCCAGTCAGGGTCTTCACAAAGATCTGCATACCACCCCTGAGACGCAGCACCAGGTGCAGGGTGGATTCCTTCTGGATGTTGTAGTCAGACAGGGTGCGGCCATCTTCCAGCTGCTTGCCAGCAAAGATCAGCCTCTGCTGGTCAGGGGGAATGCCTTCTTTGTCCTGAATCTTAGCCTTCACATTCTCAATGGTGTCACTGGGCTCAACCTCCAGGGTGATGGTCTTGCCAGTCAGGGTCTTCACAAAGATCTGCATACCACCCCTGAGACGCAGCACCAGGTGCAGGGTGGATTCCTTCTGGATGTTGTAGTCAGACAGGGTGCGGCCATCTTCCAGCTGCTTGCCAGCAAAGATCAGCCTCTGCTGGTCAGGGGGAATGCCTTCTTTGTCCTGGATCTTAGCCTTCACATTCTCAATGGTGTCACTGGGCTCAACTTCCAGGGTGATTGTCTTGCCAGTCAGGGTCTTCACAAAGATCTGCATGTTGAACTGTAGCAAGAGAATCACAAGGCTTCCCATTAGCTCACTCAGAAAATGTGAAAACAGATTATGCAATGAGTAGTTCCTTCTTATCAGCCATGATTTACATATCTTTTCATACAGAAAAAACCCTAAGAACTGCTTTTTCTTTCTGTATAAAGGACTGACCTCCCCTTTTTTTTGTAAATTTCCTCAGCACCCCCAAGCCACACCCTTCATTAGTGTTGAACCCCAAACCTGCTTTCTCTCTCAAGAGGCATTTTTTCCTAAAGCTTCCTCATGTCCCCATCCCCCACACGCACACACACCAGGGCCCCCAGCAGCATCCGGCCGATAACACTCGTTTGTGCCCCCGCACCCCGCCAGTCACAACGACCGCCGTGACTCATCGGCCTCCGCACGGCGGGGAAAGGCAGCGACCACCATGTTCGCCCGGTTTCCCCAACTGCCTCCCGGTCCCCTCAGAGAAGCACCCCCCCACCCCTTCAGCTCCGCTCCCAGCCCCTTACCACTTGCTTTTCCACACAGCTGAACTAGAAAAACACCTCCTCCGGCTGCTGGTCCGAGCAAAGTCTAATGACGCGGCGCTTACCCGCACGTATTTATCGGCTTCCCGTCACGTCACAGTTCCACCCTTCCTCCAGCTCCGCGTACACCTCCGCCGCTCAAAGTAGTGCCGAGGGCGGGGCCGCCCGCCAACCAGCGCTCCTCGGACGCGGAGGGATACGTCTGCGACGAGCCCGTTCTGGAAGGTTCTGCCGCGGTGGGCGGGGCTTCACACGTTCTCCGCGCTCATTGGCGGGCAGGGGGGGTTGATGGGCTGGGGGCTACGTGAGCAGACGCTCTGGAAGATTCGTTGGGGGAGGGGTGCGCTGGCCGCTGATTGGTGTGGAGTGAGGTAAGCCTTGTTGCCAAGGCAGATTTCAGGCGGGGGGGAGGGGAAGAGGGGCGCGCATGCGCGGAGTTGGGGTTGTTTAAGCCTGAGGGAGCAGTTGTGGTGCAGAACTCTCTCTGGGTGTAGGGGAACGCACTTACGGTCCTGACTGCCCCTTACAGCCCCCCTGGGCCGCTGTGGCCTAGGCATGAGGTGTGGCGCTGGCATTGGGGATATCTCTTCAGCACAAAGCATGAACCACGAGTGTCCTCAGAGACTGTCGTGGCAGCAAGAGGGTAGGCAGCTGTGGTGGTATTAGCGGCCAGTGCCAACCGGCGGTTAGCGACCACCCCAAATGCCACCGGCGGGTGTCTGCAGCAAGGGGCAGGGGTGGCGAGCTGACCTTGCCGGGCGCATGTGCACCCAGGTGCAGTCCCGACAAGTATGTCGCCAATGGCACAAAGCCTGTCCGGTGTCATGGGGTTTTCAAACTGGTTTACTCTGCCACAAGGTCACTCCCGCCTGTTCGAGCCAGGCTCTGTTTTGTGTTTTAACTAAAATTACCACCTCGGTTTGTATTTTAACGGACAGGCTTCCTGGCCTTTGGCTGCTTTATTACTCTGTCTAGGAAGAGCGCAGACCATTGGCCCGGCGAAGGGTATTTATACTGGAAAGTTTGGAAAGAAGAATTTTTTCAGCTATTTTGAGTCGGTCTAATAGAAGATACCGGATTTACCCAAAGAGCCCTGTGTGTCTGTGTCCTTAGACCAATACAGCTGCAACCTACACCCCTTAACCAGAGTGAGGTGCTTATGTACAGGGGCTAGTGCAGGTGGTCAGAACTGGAGTGAGACTAATGCCAATCTGCACGTAAACCAGGGTAGCTGGAGTGAAAAATAAAGGCTCCCACTCCTCTCCTAGACCACATGACTGTCACTCGGCATTTAGCGTCATCTTGCGATGGTGCCCTTGTATGCTGTAGAGTGATGGTTTACTGCCATTTGTGCTTTGGAACAGCAGAAACCACTTCACGAAATGATGGTGATAGACCAGTTTTTGGGGGTCAGAAACTCCCTCATTTCCCCCTAACAGAGCTCCTCTGTCTGTAGTTTTGTAGGCACGTGTTTCCACTTTAAAAAAAACAAAAATCAGTGTTTTTATGGATAAATGATCTACCCTCTGTTTACATGTGCGTGTAACAATGGGCAAACTGACTCCAACTTTTGGGAGAGGGTGGGTGACAGGGAAGGACTGGATGTGCTTGCAAAGACTGTACGCTCAACCTGAAGCCACTTTTCCCATACACATACGTACGATGCAATAACTTGTGAGCCTCGCATCCAATCCCAGAATTTTAGGGAATGCTCTCGCAGGGCTGCCCAGAACTCGACAGAGCGTAGGAGAAGTAGGAGAAACCTGAAAGCTAAAAAGAGAAGCATGAGCTTGGCTGACAACCTACAAAGCACACACCCTTGTTAGTTAAAATCATGAAATAGCAGCTATTGTGTCCTGGAATATTCTCTGCTGCTGTTTCTATGCTGTGTGGTGAAGCAGGGGAAGGAGTGAGGAATAGTTCAGGAACCAGAGAAGCTTGTGTAGAAGAGCTGGGAAATCAAATTATTTGGAAATTAGTCAGCTGAGCATAAGCATCTGTGCCTCCCAAAGTGTCATGTTCAGCATGAGCCAAATGTTTTTGTAATCATGTGGCCCCTTTCCTGGAACTTTCTTCCTCCACAATTTAAGCAGATTGCAAATATGAATGTGTTATTGTGAGCTCGTGACACCCATCAGTGATTAATGCTGGCATCTGAACTACAAACTGGTTTTTACCTGTTTGTAGAGTAGGAGCTTGGGTCATGTAATCACTTCCTCCAGTGAGCTGATGTGGAATTAGTATTCCTGCTAATTGAGTTTTATTCTGTCTTCAGATCTAGCTTTGGACTCCTGTTATGTTATGTTATGTTGTTATAGCTGGGATGTGAGATCCAACAGTCCATCACGTGGCAATGTTCCATTTACTGCTAGTACTTTCCACGGACTTGAATGAACTTGTGGGTAAATCTTTCAGGATTGACTCTTTCCCAGGCACAAACAGCACAAATTGTTACAAAGTTATACATTGTGTATGCTGCTTTGCTCCAACTAACAAGATATATTTGGTTTCCTTAATATAATAGGTCTTGCTCCACCCTTCCAGTTTATAATTAAAGGAAAAGAAGCCATCCTAAATAATAATAGAATTAAAAACAAACAATTACATGCACACTGTATATGCATGAGAACACAGGAAGAAAAGCTAGACAAAGCAGTGTCAACAGGAAAGGCACAGAGAAACTGCAATAACCACTATCCTGAAATGTTATAGTCATCAATTTATGGCAACTTCAGCATTTAAGCAACATTTCTATCACTTGGGGTTTTTTTCCCCATTGTCTGATTTTTCTTCCTCCATTTCCTGTACTTTATTGGTTTTGTTTATGCAGAGCCAAAAGAGGACTAACTGCTTGATATATCCGGTACGACATGCCACGTATATACTTTCAAACTTGTCAAACCCCATCATCAAAGTGAGAGCAAACACAGTGAAAAAAGCAGAGAAGAGCTTTAAAGCTGATTTTGTTTAAATATCCAACATCAAAAAATTAAATTAGGATCAAGGTCCTTGTACAGAATCTGGCAAGTGGCAGTGTCAGCAAAAAATATAATTCTTTTAAGCTCTAGAAACTCTTGGGCAGCTTCTCAACACAAGAGAAGGGCACGCAGAGAGCTCTTTGGATCTCTGCCACAGGCCAGTTAGGGAAGGTTTTGTCCCAAGGGAGAATTTTCTATCCAGAGGAATACGTTGCAGCACTGGAAGGGACTGTGGGGTCCAGTATGAAGTCAGAGAAATGGTGAAAAATTCAGGTTTGCCACATTAGAAAGAAAGAATTGTGGACTGATTTTTAAGGTACATTTTAAAGCGTCTATTCTGATTTCTCACCATTTTATTTTGTTTGTTTAGTTTTGTTTTAAATCCCCTTACATTAGAGACCTGTATCCACAGGGCTGTAGCAGGGATGCAAAATGTCTCCGCAGGAAGGTAAAGAAGAGGGGGAATTGTCTGCAACTCTCATGCTCTGACATGCAAACCAGAAAACACCAGAGCTGCTGCTTTTGCTTCTAACCAGGGCTGAAAACAATGCAGCCATACTGCTTCCACTCCCACACTGTTGGTTTTCTGTTTATCGATTGAAACCAAGCGATTATAATAATATGTCACTGTGATGAAGGTTTCTGTCTCAATGATTTTGCCACAAGCAGCTCTTAAAATAACTTGTTGTTGACTGTTGCTGAATAATTCATTCTTCAGGGAAATGTCATCACATGAAACAAGTACAAGTCTCGGCATGCCCACACGGAATACAGACTGCAGGTTAAAAACAACAAGGACAGTGCATGTGACCCCTGGGTGAGACTAATCAGTCCTACATAAAAAGCTCAATTAGTTTCCTCAGATATGTCCAGGATAAAGTACTGGTTGGACTTTGGACAGAGAACCACGTATGGGTTGGACATTGATAAGCCTGCATTTACTGTATATTTTGTATGCTGTAGGTCAAATTCCATGGTAGCGACATCCAGTTCTAATATAGAACAACTTCCCTGAAGTCTGGTTTCTATGTTTGTAGCTGTAAACAAATTGGCTTCCCCGGTAAGTTAATGACAGAGTTTCAGCCTGAACTCCAAGCTTCCTCAGATATCTAGATGTCCCCATATGAGAAACAGATTTGGCAAGTCTGGCTGTCCTTAAATCTTCACCTGAATGCATTTTCTTTGTACAAAACAGAAATAGTCACGTGCTGCCTCAAAAGTTCTAGCTGAATAAGGAACAGCAAGCAGGAGCTGGCCGTTGCTGGAAGGTGGAGAAAAGACAGTACAGACTGTAACAGAACAGAGCAGAGCCATAGCTGGGAACACCGTCTTCTTGTAGTGGTTTGAAAACTAGGTCACTGGGCAGCAGTACAAAGAAACCTACTTTCAGAGAAGAGGGATTCATGGTCACAAGAAATGTATCACACAGATAGGTACATTCTGGAACAAAGTCACAGGTCGTGACCTGTACACACACCAGCGCCTTGACAGCTGCAAATAATTTCTGCTTGGACACTGTAAAATAAAACGAACGTTTTATTTATGGCTATAGAACCTCACCAGGGAATGGCAGCCAGTTAGAGGACCTGAGTATGTACAGCGAGGCCAGTACATTTCCTTAACTCAGATAAAGCAGAGAGCTCTGTCAGAAGGGGAAAATCAGCTGTTGTTCCTGGTTTGTTATCATACTTGCTACGCCTAAATTGCATACATCTCTTTGGGTAGAGATAGCATCTGATGAGGTGAGCTGTGGTTCGTGAACGTTGATTCAGTTAGTCTGTAAGGTGTGCCACTACCTTGCCTTTTGTCTTTGCATTCTACCAGGTAGGGACAGTGATGGAAACTAATGTGTGCTGGTGAAGTACACCCATGCCCCAACAGAAACTGTAGCTTTGTTACCAGGCTCTGTCTAGAGCACAGCTCCATCTGCACTACAAATGCAGCAGTGGTACATTATGGTTGTCCAAATACTTGTAAAACATAAAGTCCAAGAATTGTGTGTCACACCCCAAAATATCATGAGCTTGACTTGAAAATAAAGAGATTTATAAAACAATAATACATGTATGCTTTCTTCTGTTTTTGAAGTCTAATACTTGAAACTTTTTCTTTAAATGAAAAGCTGAGATTCTCACAGACCAGCATGGTTCCAGGAGTTGGAGTTGTAAGAAAAACACCAAATTATCACAAAATTGATAACAAACCAAGAAGAGCTGGCTGCAGTGTTGCTCCCAACCAGCTTAAAGCCGTTTCACTTTGTGGTGCAAGTGAGACCAAAAAGCTGCATCTTTAATGTGCCTGAGCATACTTTTTTGAGCAACTCTAGGTAATGTAGATAAAAATCTCTATGGCTGTTTTATACTCAAGATCTTATAATGTTTACAAGTGGTGCTATGACAGCTGGAGATTTTCTTTAAATCTCTATGTAGACACGGTTTATGAGTACACAGGTAAAGTAATAAAACCAGCAGATAAAGGAGAAGCTATAGTTATCCTTAACCGTGAAGACTACGTAAAAGAAGCCAACAGACAACTCTGTAACACCACCTACTACAAAAAACGGGAGGAAGATCCTGCTCCCCTTTTCAGTTAAAAACTCAAAACCACCATCAAATTATTTCCATATGAACTACAAAAAAACACCATCAAATCATTTCCATATGACCTACAAGACAAACTACAAAACTTGATCCCCCCCATCCAACCCCAGCACTTTTTACATGCTCCCTAAAATCCACAAACAAGGGAACCCAAGTAGACCTGTAATATCCAGGCATGAAACCTTAACTGAGGAAATATCACGTTTTGTTGAATCCATCCAATTTTTCCAACTATTTAGTTGGTCTGATAAAAGATATCACATTTACCCAAAGAACCTTGTCTGCCTAGGGCAATGTAAGTGAGGAATGGTGTATAAGTGAGGGGGGGAGAGAGAGCATCAGTGGAATAGTACCTGGTTAGTCATGAACTAGGGCAGCTTGGTCCTCCCCTAAAGTGTTACGGCCATGTTATTTTTCTTCAGTGCACAGAAGCTATGGTACTAATTGCCATTATTTATTGCTGTATTATATTACACAGTCTGGTCTCTAGAGCACTACACCGGAAAGGGAAAATCAGTGCCCATACTTCCTCCTTTTCTTGTTAGCCTACAAGCCCCCCAAAACTGTCAGCATTGCTTTTCCAATAAAAAGCCCCCTCTAGACCAAGTCCAAAGGCAGGCTGACCTCTAGACAAGAGTTCTGCTGAATCAGTGTTACACAAGCAGAGCAGAGGTAGAACAGAGAGGCACTCTGTACCGTCACCGCTGAAACACCACACCATCCAAAAGAGTGAACTTTGGCAAGACAACTGGACAATGTACTGATTTTCTATATGTTTCTGCCCTGTGCCCTCTAGGGCATTAACTAGAAAAATATATTTCCTCCTCCCTGGTTTTCTCTGGATTGTTTTCAGAAAAGCATGCTCTATCAGGTTATTGGCTCCTACAAAGGACTGCAGCTTAAACAAGGGTTTTTTTCTTTCTTTTTTTGTAATATATATATATATATAGCAAAGGTTACCGGCATCACGCGTTCATGTTTTTTTCATCCATAACAGTAAATTACCGGTTACTAATTTATCCCAGCTGAATCACTTTGAATATACTGCACGTGGTTAAGTTTTTGGCAGGAGAGCTCTTCTCTAGCTCTCAGTCAGAAGTCAGATATATATACACACACACATCTTCTAGTCGCTGATCATTGGGTTGCATCAGATCTAGAAGAAACTATGCCTCCAGTGCATATATGGGGGGTCTCCCTGAATACTGAAGGACTCCTAAGGTGTACTGAAGCCTGACAATGAACTAGGAGTACTGCTGAGTTATTGCTTGTGACTGCTGTGGAGATAAAATTCACCCCAAGTACAGGACCACTGCACAGCTCTGGTATCATGGGCCTCCCATTTATGAACTGTTTTGAGCCTGATGGATTATAAAATCTGAAAAAACCCAGGAAGGAAGAGCGATCATACTTAGGATTCAACACAGGACCCTTGGGATGTGGTGCATGGGCCCCCTGCAGAGTCAAATTTCACTTTATCTGCCTATTCACACAGCTTTGACTGAATGCCCCCAGTCCCTGTGCAGTACTCCATGCAAAACTGGGGCTGGATTCTCTGAGAATGGATGATTTTTCTAGTTATCCCTGAATCTTGGTCAGGAATTTGGAGTGGATTCTCTAACTAAGGTTCCCCTATTTTCTTCTTATTCCTTCATTGCAGGCCCAGCTTTTTGCCAAACTGACCTACCAGCCACTTGGACTTAGATTTCTTGAGAGCATAACCTGTGTCCTTCAGGTTGTCTGGGGTGCCAGATGTTACCTTTTGGCATTCCTATTTCCTGAACACTCTTTTCTCTTTTAACTCCAAACCTCCCCACTCTGAGCAGAAGTTTCCACTCTGGCACTCTGAGGTGAGACCACATTCAGATCTCTCACGCGGTCTGCCAGTTGAACCCAGAAATACTCTGTTCTGACAGGGGTCTGTATCTGGGCTGTCTGGAGGTGGGGTAGGAACAGGATTTGGTTCCCCACAGCACTGTCCAAACTGTTTTGTGCAGTAGATACTGACGGGGCTGGAAGCAAACCTAACAGGCATCACAGGCCATGTTTCCACCCTGGTCTCCGTTTCCACCCTGGTCTCCATTGGTCTGTAAACTCACACCTACATAGGTTTGCCGCTGTCTGTGAGCACCTCTCTGGCGATGGAGTGGCCAGCCACTGGACAAACTTGTGCGCGCTCCTGCGAATTTGATACAACTGCTTTTGCTTGGAACAGGACAGGGCAATGCATGCTCCAACCTGCAGTTGCCCCAGGCCACCACCCCATATTAAATGTGAACACAGCCACATTGCAGAACTGCATCAGCTGTCTCTGGCCTAGTGCTTTTCATCCCAGACTAGCGTGTGACTAATGTGAAGTCAAGAATGACTAACGTGGATCTGGGAGCAGTTCTGATTGAGAGCTAGAGAAGAACTCTCCTGCCAAAAACTTCACCACGTGCAGTATATTCAAAGTGATTCAGCTGGGATAAATTAGTAACCGGTAGTTTACTGTTAGGAATGAAAAAACATGAATGCATGATGCCGGTAACCTTTGCTGCCTGTCAGAGAGCAGAGGTGTGGGTGGTTGTGCTGGTTCTGCTGCGCACTCTTTCAGGAGGTGACACACCCTGTGGGGTCACATACGTTTTCCAAAGCTGTTTTCCAGGTCAGACAGCTTAGGGGACGGTTTCGTCACTACCTACAAGCTTTACCGTACTCCCAGCAGACCTGACCCTTCAGTAGCCCCTCTAGATATTGATTAGCAGACTGGCGGGGGAGCTGTTTACAATCCCTTCCGTTTGTGCCATGTGAACCCTGGAGCCTCTTTCAGTGCTTCAGTTGTAACCATGAGCTTTCAGCTGGGCTTGGAGCTCAGCAAAACAAATCCACTCCTAGGCAACAATTGGCATGGGAGAGTTAGCTCCAGTGATATTTTTCCCTATCAAATCTGGTTTAAATCAGTTTGAACATTGCTAGGTTCTTACTGCTCCTCCCCCTGCTCCGCACATGTTTTCTGACCACAGAGATGGTGCTGAGTTCCTAATGCTGAATACAGTAAGGTTTTATAGGCCACTATTCCCTAATACAGGCTGGTAACTTTAAATAGACTTAATGCCTTTCTTTAAAATAAACATTGCAAACTCTTCTGATCAAGTATGTAAGTTCTGTCTGTGCTGGCCGTAGAAACCAGGATGGCCCTTTTCTGGCAACTATCACGTTTAAGTGCAGTTGCCTGGAAAGGTGATGACCTGGGTTCAGGTCCCAGGGTAGGTGGGGACTAACTGAAGTGTGCAATGCTGCTATATGCTGTTCAGAAGCTGCCATGTTTCAAACCAGAGATGACTGTAGTTCAAAAGCAGAGAATTGATCCATACAAGTCACCTGTATCCTGTCAAATGCTTTAAAGCATTTGGGGAACCTTCAGGGCATGATCCACCATGTAACTAAAATGAAAGAACTGCCCCCTAAACAGTAATGCCAGCTAAATAGCACTCCTGCCATTAAAATAGGATATGAGGTTCTTGCTATGGATTGCAAGGATAATTTTCACAGAGAAGACATCCGGCTCCCATTAATCACCTCACCCATCACCTGATGCAAGTCTGCCTGCGCTGAAGCACGTTGCACAGGACTCCTTGGTGTTACCTGCTTTAAACAGGCTTGTGCCAGCCTCCGTTCAACGTCATGTTGAATCAGCACTCAGGAGGTGACTGTGCATTACACTTTTGGGGCGGTGACCAGTTCCCTTTTCACAGTGAGTCAGGTGAGGGGCTGTGGTTATCAGGGTGAAGGGAAAGGGCAAGTGTGTCTGAGTGGAAGGAGGGAGCGTAGGACCTGGGGGGTGTAGGCCAGGCACCTTTAAGTTTGGAGATGGGGTGAGAATCTGGAGGTGGGGCAAGCAGGTAGAGAATTGCAGGGAGACAGAGGGAGGGGATTTGGATCAAAGCTCATTTGGCCTCTCCCCAGGCTGGTTTAGAGCTGCTCTTTATACCCGTGCACACAATTCCAGCAACCAGAGATGTCATGCCTCTACCTGACTTTCATAGATTGCATAGAGGTTAGGGCTGGAAGGGCCCTCGCGAGATCATTGGGTCCAGCCCCCTGCCCAAAGGGCAGGAAGTGACTCAAAAGTTTCCCTCATCCCACTCTGCCAGCTGGGGTCACAGTATTTGCCTGCCTGGAACAGGTATTTGCAGCCTTCCCTCCTGGTTCGGCACAGTCTGCCCCCAGAGATACCTCCCAATGGCTCCCGCGGCAGACTCCTTTCAGGACAATCCTGCTACAGCACACAAAGGAGGCATCTCTGCAGCACCGCACGGGAGACCTGCATTCTTGGGGCTGGGTTCACATCACACTGCCTCACTCACTGATGGCGGGAGGGGGGCCAGTCCTGAGGCTTTCCAATCACACCCAGGAGCTCTTAGCTTTGGGGTTGCCAAGCCCTAGCAACAAGACTGAGTCTTGCTTTTACTTTTGTGTAGTAAGATGCTCCCGAGATGCTCATCACCGTTGCACTGGTGAGACTCACGGACACCAGCTAGGAGGAGCTGGCTGTCCACCGACTCCAGCGGTGCTGGAACCTCAACCAAGCGGCCGAGCATTTCAAGGTGGAGGCTGAAGAGGTCCAGGTGCCTTAGTCTCTCCTCGTAGGGCTTGGCCTGCAGGCCCTTAACCATACGAGCGGCCCTTCTCTGGACCCTCTCCAGGTTATCCACATCTCTCTTAAAGTGCGGCGCCCAAAACAGGACAGAGTACTCCAACTGCGGTCCGACCAGCACCCGACAAAGGGGAAGTATCACCTCCTTGGTTCTGTTTGTCACACATCTGCCGATGCACGATAAAGTGCAGTTAGCTTTGCTGATGACTTTGTCACACTGACGACTCTCGTGTTCATCTTGGAGCCCACTAGGATGCCGAGATCCCTTTCCGCTTCCGTGCTGCCGAGCAGGTCATTTCCTAGGCGGTAGGTGTGCTGGACATTTTTCCACCCTAGGTGCAGCACTTTGCATTTCTCCTTGTTAAATCGCGTTCTATTGTTTTCTGCCCATTTGTCCAACCTGTCCGGGTCTGGTTGAGAGGCGACCTTGTGGCTGCCTATAAATTCATCATGGGGGCGCAGAAGGGAATTGGTGAGGCTCTACTCACCAGGGGGCCCCGGGGTCACAAGAAATAAGGGCCATAAGCTAGCAGAGAGCAGATTTAGACTGGACATGAGGAGGAACTTCTTCACAGTCAGAGTGGCCAAGCTCTGCAATGGGCGCCCCAGGGGGGTGGTGCCGTGTGTCCGCAGCGCCGCCTGGCGGCCCGCGCGCAGCGCCGCGCCGCGGCAGCATGGGCAGGGCTC